AATTCTATGTGCTGTATTCCCCTAGTGCTGGCGTTCTGCCATTCTCACTGATCTGTAAATTTGGTCTTGGCTGCCTGTTCTTGCTGATCTTCTCGGGGAAGGGCCTGTTTCTGTGGTTTCCAAATGTCTTTGCTGGAGGCGAGATTGCCCTGCCCTTGCTGGGTCCAGGCTAAGTAATCAGCTCGGGTTTGCTCTCGGGAGCTTTTGTTCCCTGCAAGCTTTCCGTAGAGCTTTGGAGGATGAGAGTGAAATGGTAGCCTCCCAATCTCTGCCCCAGAGGAGCTGAGAACTCGGGGCCCCACTCCTCAGTTCGCCCCCAGAGAAAAGCAGTCAATCACTCCCATCTCCCCGGTCTCCGGCCATACTCTGTGCTCACCCGACCTGTGACCAAGCGTTTCTATCTCTGGCACACGACCACATGTGGAGTCTCCAAACCCAGCAGATCCCTGTGGTGTGCTCCCATGCCGCTTCTCCCAGGGGAGGAAGGGGAGTCTTTCTGGATCTGCCACTTGTTGGGTCCCTGCTGGAAGCGCAGTGGCCCAACTGTGCCGCGGATCACGGTTTATGGCAACCCCGAGCTGAGAGCCCACTCCTCAGCTCTGCAGCCAGCTTCCCTGCTCCGATACCTGGGAGCTCTGCCGCACTCAGGCACCCGCGGTCATTCTGTGACCCCCAAGGGTCCTGAGACCACACTGTCCCAGCGAGTGTTCCGCCCCCTGGCTTAGCCACTGGAGCGACATCCCTCAGCATAGCAGACTTCTAAAAGTTCCGATTTTGTGCTCCGCTTCTCCATCACTTGCCAGTAGCGGTGGATGGTGACCCACTCCCCTGCTATCTATCCTCCCTAATATCACCTCGGATTCACTTCTCCACACATCTTACGTTCCAGAAAGTGGTCGCTTTTCTGTTCAGAGACTTGCTGCTCTTCTTTTCTTCGATCTCCTGTTGAGTTTGTAGTTGTTCAGAATGGTTTGATCCCTATCTAGCTGAATTCCTGGGACCAGATGAAATTTAGATCTCCTACTCCTCCGCCATCTTGTTCCTCCTCTCCACCCTCTGGTTTTTAAAGAATTTCCTGTAGGGTTGTATATCCCTGGGACGTTCAAACTATGGGTGGCCCTTCTTGTTTTTTTATGGCCTTGTGAAGTACCTTTCTTGAAGGAAGGAGCAGTAAGGCAGCAAGGGATAATGAAAAGAGTATGTGATGGAGTCACTAAGCATAGACATAAGGGATTGACTAGTTTTATTTATTTGTTTGTTTATTTGTTTATTTAAGTATAGTTGGCACACAATGTTACATTAGTTTCAGGTGTACAATACAGTGATTCGACACCTTTATATGTTATGCTATGAGTGGCCAATTTTTAACTTATCAAAACCCATTACATCATTTGTAAAATAGAGATAATAAAATAATATTTACATCTCAAGGTTGTTATAAGGATTATTGTCACACACATGCCACACACTGACAAATCCACACACAGATACTCAGTGCACATAGAAAATAATATCTTTGGGAGGACAGGATGCATTTTATTATTTGCAACATGAAAGCCCTGTGCATGGTCTGTATATGTTCTCTCCTTACTTTATGACTTTCCTTTGTTTCCTTAGTTGGCTTTTCCACATCTGACCTCTCTGTGGGGCTTAATACTCAGCTCTACCTTTTCTTTATTTATACTTGCTCTCCAGATGATTATATTCATTGCCAAGATTTTATGTATTGGTGACCCTCAGTTTATATCTCTAACCCAAAACACTCCTCTTGGTCCATCCTTATATATCCACCCTCCTGTTTGGCACCTTTACCTAGGTACTTTGAAAGTATCTCACTTTGGGATGCCTGGGTGGCTCAGTTGATTAAGGGTCTCTCTTAGGCTCAGGTCATGATCCCAGTGTCTGGAGATCGAGTTCTGCATAGGGCTCCTTGCTTCGCAGGGAGTCTGCTTCTCCCTCTGTCACTCCCCCTGCTTGTACTCTCTGTCAAATAAATAAATAAAATCTTAAAAAATATTATCTCACATTTAACATGTTCAGGAGAGAATTAAGTTTTTCTCTGCCTCCATCTGTTTCTGTACCAGTCTGTCCCATATCTTTTAATGGTAAAATACACTAGTTTTTAGACTCAAAACCTAGGAGTAGACCCTAACTTCTCTCTACCTTATAACCCACATCCAGCCCATCACAAGTCCCGTTGATTCTACTTGCAAAATATATCTGATTGTGTCCACTTCCTTCTATATCTGCTGTCCCCAATAATAGCCAAGCCACTGTAATTCCTTACTTAGATTATTTATGTCTCCTAATCAGATTTCTTCTGTCCATTATCCAGAACAATGAGCACCTAGAATTATCTTTTGTAAGATAGAATTGTGCCAGTTGTTTGTTTATATCTCCTCAATGATTTTCTGTTGCATTTAACATCCAAATTCCTTTTAAGAACGTACATGGTCTGGCCCTTTATTTTTGCAACCTCATTTTGTACCATGATTGCTCCATTCTTTATGCTCTGGCCACCCTTTTCACATGACTGCCTTCTTTATTTTATTGTTCTTTGCATTTACCAGGCTCTAGCTAAAGTCACCTTTTAGAGTACTGATCTGTGAGCCCTATAGAAAGCATGTATCACCTGTTCTCTCTTGAATACTTAATTTCCAGGACAGAGTCATAGCATAAGCATGCCATAAATATTTGTTAAATGAGTTAATGAACAAGTGCCTGGTGTATGATGGGTGTTCAGTGAAAGATAATGATGGCAATTATCAATGTACATCATTGCACTTCTTTGTTACATTAGTCTTTCCCACTCAATAGTAAGTAGATATTTCTTGAATGAGTTAAAAGATTAATTTAGCTTATAACTGGAAGACAATATTTCAGTGTTTTATGTGTGTGTGTGTGTGTGTGTGTGTGTGTGTGTTGACTATGTCTCAATATAGAAGGCTTGTCTAAAATAATTCTAACAAAATTCATGGGATATTTTAGTTTCACCATGTTGATAGGCCACTTCTAGTCTTGCTTATCACTCTGATGCTCTTTTGATGCTTTTATGTAATAAAAATGAGTCCTGTTTTGTTATTGAGTTTGCTCACTAACGTTCTGCATTTAATAAGACATTGTGATTTCTTTTACCATATATACACACACACACACATTTTTTTTTTTTTTTTGGTCTGCAGTAGAATTCACATGTGAATAAGCATTGGTCTCTAGGTCTTTGGTCTAAGCAAGTGAAGGGAAAGCTTGAGAATATTCAGATAATTTCCCAAATGAGAAAATTAATATCAGTCTTTGTTCCCTGCCCCTGTCTACAATACCAACTTCCATACCAAAACTGATTTTTTGCCCTAAATATTGCTAAACACCTAGAACATCCTAGAACATCTAGTTATTTGATAAGCTTTTTTATTTTAATGTTTGTCACTATGCAAGGCAGCCTTTCTCTGTTGTCACAGGATAGAAATGGTGGGGGGTGGGGAGTGATTAGAGCTGTGATTCAGGTCATCTTCAGTTGGTGTATGGACTAGAATTTTTGTAGATCTGATGGGTGTTGAAAACCATTAGTATTCTTGAAGAAGCATCCTACTTGTATAAATTCCTGAAGAAGCATCACCTGCCTTTGAAAGGTGTTGCTTAGGGAGTTAGTCACTTGAAAACAATTTGATATCCTTGGCTGGCAGAGAGGATAACATACTAAATAAGTCTCTTATACAATTCTTTTAATAACCCAAATCACTAATTTGTCAGTTCCTTTTTACAAACTGATAGAATTTGCTATAGGCAATTTGGGACAAATTTCCTTCTTCCCAGGAGTTTAAACTGAAATAGGTGACTACATTCAAGCTGTACTAAGTTTCTACTTGGAAGGGTAGTTCTAAACATGCATCCTTCCAGCCCTTGGAGTCTTTGTGATATGGAATTTTTTTTTTTTTTCCTGGATCAGAGATAGAGGACTGATTACTGTGAATTTTATTACAAGACTCTGTAATTACTTTGAAGACTCTGGAGGACTGAGGGGGTTGCCAGAGAATTTTCTGTCCTCACCACCTAGCTACAGAATGCTCTTGGAAATGTAATAACAGAAAAGGTCATGTCTTGACTATATATAGTCCTATTCAATATACAAAACATTTGCATAGTTGATATCTTATGTTGATTCCCATAAGGGTAGCCTAGTACATATGATGGGACTTTTCAGGTGAGGAAATTCTGGTACTGAGAGGTTGAACAATTTATTAATAATTCTTAATAGCAGAACTGGAATTTGAACTAAATATTAATTTTGCCAAAAACCGGTGCCCATTTCACTTTGTCTTTCTACCTAGTTAGGGAACATTTACTCTGCAATACCCACCCTATTCCTTCTTTCCCATAGTTCATTTAGCTTGGGAATACCTACCTGGTCTCATATGTCTTTGTTCTATATTATATGGAAACTAGACATAATACTTATTGGGAAGATTGTTCAGCTTGCCTTAAATTGCATTTAAAGAGGGGTTATGTAACCTTTATTAAAAAGTCACTTTATTTTTGTGATTGCATAGTTGATAATGCTGAAAATTCAGAAAGAAATAAAATGTATTTCTAAAACACAAAATACTACCACCCAGAGAAAACTAATGCTTGTTATTTTGGGTTGCATACTCCCTAAAGTTTTCTGTTTGTGGCATAGTTTTGTTTTTAGGGTGCTTTCTCTCATCTCCACATAAAAATATCATTTGGCCTACCACACATAAGATTTGCTTTTGTGTACTCAGATGAACAAATGAAAAGAATATCAATGTAAGTAAAGTAGGATCAAGAAACTCTATTGGATTGTTTCATCAAATTACAAAATTACAAAAGAGACAAAGGAGAGTCTTAAGGATTTTTAGATTGTTTTTTCAAAAAGATTATATTCCTAGTCTACATCATCAAAGTCTACTAGTATAGATCATTAGAGCTTCCCAAACTGGTTGTACTTACATTGTTAAATACCCATGCTATTTTTTTTCCAGGTTTTGAAGATCATGACCACATGGATGAAACTAATTAAATGGTACGTGGGGACATGGTGGTCCTTTAGAGAGCACATCTAAATTACTGCCTAATTCCTTGGTTTGCCACTCAACATAGGACGTTGTTTGATTCTATCTATCAGAACTCTCGTAAATTTTCCCCACCATGCTATCTTTATTAGCTTGAACTCCTTTCCTAAAATGGTCCTTCTGTTGATCCTGTCAGTTCTGCTTTTGAAAGAAGATGTCCGTGGGAGTGCACAATCCAGTGAGAGGAGAGTGGTGGCTCACATGCCAGGTGACATCATTATTGGAGCTCTCTTTTCTGTCCACCACCAGCCCACGGTGGATAAAGTTCATGAGAGGAAGTGTGGGGCGGTTCGTGAACAGTATGGCATTCAGAGAGTGGAGGCCATGCTGCATACTCTGGAAAGGATCAACTCAGACCCCACACTCTTGCCCAACATCACACTGGGTTGCGAGATAAGGGATTCCTGCTGGCATTCGGCTGTGGCCCTAGAGCAGAGCATTGAGTTCATAAGGGACTCTCTCATTTCTTCAGAAGAAGAAGAAGGTTTGGTGCGTTGCGTGGATGGGTCTTCCTCTTCCTTCCGCTCCAAAAAGCCCATCGTAGGGGTCATTGGGCCTGGCTCCAGTTCTGTGGCCATTCAGGTCCAGAACTTGCTCCAGCTTTTCAACATACCTCAGATTGCTTACTCGGCAACAAGCATGGATCTGAGCGACAAGACTCTGTTCAAGTACTTCATGAGGGTTGTGCCTTCAGATGCTCAGCAGGCACGGGCCATGGTGGACATAGTGAAGAGGTACAACTGGACCTATGTGTCAGCTGTGCACACAGAAGGTAAGCATCCTTTACATTGGTTGATATATGTCTTATTATGCACTCAGCAGATTCCCAGTTATAATTCCAGGTTTTGGAAGACTAAAATATTCCTGATTATTTGGGATCTTTTGAGTTGCCTAGTTATACCAGTAATAAAAGAAGGGCTCAAGTGGCAGGTGTCTAGAGAGGCTTAGATTTAGGCTAATATTAATGTTTATGTGGCCATAATTTTGTGAAATGAACATTTTTTGTGTGTTTTGCATTATATTATCTGTAATTCTGCTATGATGATGCTAGAAATTTTTAAGTTTTCTGAAATTCATTGAACACCTCATAATTTTCACATTTAAAGTTGCTCCAACTGCCTATTGTTTTTGATAAAGAGAGGTACACATAAATGCAGGTAGGGACTGAAGGCAGTCAGTTCTGGCCCAGGTCTACTGTGATAGAAAATTACCAAACAGTTTAGTCTCACAACTATTTTTTTTTCAAAAGAGAGTATAGTTAAATCTGGAAAAGAGATATGTATGAATTAATACTACCCTTGTCTAGAACATACTCAGAGAATGTAAGTTTTAACAGTTCAAAATTAGTTTTGCTTTGAAATTTATTGTTTGTTTATGCTCAAGGCAAAACAAGGACGCAAAATGTGACTGAGGTTTTATAACAATAACAATATTAGTCCTTTTTATTGGTTATGGTGCTTTGAAAATGTTTTCATATGCATGACTTATTAGTTCATGACCAAGGCTGTTTGGGATAGGTTTGGTTTGACTACAGAGGTTAAGTGACTCAAATGTGAGACTCACTAATTACACAACACTCTTTCTAGCACAACATACTGCATATACTAAAGCCAGAAGGTACAAAATACTTTTTATAGTTCATGGAAGCACTGTGAGGATTAGTTAAGATTAAAGAATCTTGCAATAGCATTATCAATATGGTCCAAACAATCCAATCCTGTAAAATGTGGGGTTGAGTTATTGAGCAATTTATGAAATCACCAGAGTGAGCCTACTTTGGAGGGTAGTAACCAGTCACCAGCCAGATATAACAAACTATTCATTATGAAGTGGCATAATGTAGATTTCACTGTATGCCCACTCATTAACAATGTTCAGAGCTGCACAAACATAAAATGGGCTTCCGTACTGGATTGAGATTTTTATACCTCTGGAAATTCTTATGTATAAGTTTATAGTTTACTTTTCAAGATGTTGGTATGTGGAAATTTTGAGCAATGGATAGATGATCAAGGAGACCTTGGATTTTTTTCTAATCCTGAGATTTTCATTATAAAACCACTATTTCACTTTATTCTCACAACAATCCAGTGATACAGGTAATCTAAATATTTTATTTCTGTTTTAAAATACAAATGCTTTAAGAGTTTAAATGGTCCATCCAATATATATCTAACAGTGATTTTAAGAGTAGGACTCCTAGTTACTGACTTTTAGCTTAGGGCCCTATTATAATTGAACAGAATCCAATGTAATCACACCTGAGGATATATTTATACAATACATATTCATTAAACACAAATACATGTAAGGACTTCTGATAGGCTCTGAAGGGACAGCCCTGTTTTATATATCAATACCCATTGGGTATACAATTTGGCAAAGGACAGGAGGCATGCATTAATACTTATATAACCATAATTCATGATGACAAGAAGTTACAAATATGTCTTTAAAGTAAACTGACAGAGAAAAAAGTCAAGTCCTATTCTGTGGTGATTGGCCCCATCTTCAAGATCTTCAAGAAGGACATGGAATTTGAGTTGGATTTTGACAGGAAGAATACTGACAATTGCTGAAAATTAAGAAGGGATGGATTTCCAGAAAAGGGCATGAGGAAATATGAGATGGGAAAGTAAAAAAGGTTTAAAAAATGCCAAGGATAAAGTTATGTTTTGCTTCACTTCAAATCATAAATTTCATTAGGGACTTCCCTCTAGCATTAGAAGAGTAAGTCTTGGTCTCTATGTAGGACAGGGCAATTCAAGATTGTGTTCTAAGTGAAACTCATCATCATGACTATTGGCTGTTACTAATTTAAATTTTTTTAACCTAAATATACGCCAATAGTCATCTAATAAAATAAATTGATTTGTCCATATAAGTATGATTGCATAACTATTAAAATAAATGAGGCATTCTGTAGATAATGAAATAATAATAATGAACTCCAAGATCATTTTTAAGGGAAAAGAGCAAGGTGCAGTTTTGTGTAATGGCTTGTTATTTGTGTAAAATGGAGTTTATGTAAATAATTTGATTGATATTCAAAGAATCGCTCTCAGAGAAGAACAAAACAGGTAACACTTGCTCCTTCTGAGGAGGACATAGAAGAGTTACGGGATCAGGTAGAATGGAAGAGACTTACTTTTCTTGTTTAACTTTTACATGCAAATGTTTGAAGTTGTGTATTACAAGCAAAAGGAGCTATTGAAATAAAACCATTAAAAGGAAACATTCTATTTGTGGGTAAAAATAAATCAACCAATATAAATCCCATTGCCAAATCCAGGCAGATTTAATTATTTTGCCAAAAATAGGTCAATAGAAATTTTATTGCCAAATACTGGCAAAATATTTGGATACCACCAGGATTCAGGAAAGAACACACTTTGAGTATGGACAAAGATGGGAAGAAATACTTTTGGCTTATTTCTTTATGTGGTTTAGTCAGAGAGTATTTATATTGCTTTGATCCCAAGCAAGTATGTGGATAATGAGGTTACGTGGTATTATGTCTTACAATTTATCTGCATAGGAGTGGTGTGGTAGGAAGTTTAACAAGGTAAAAATCACATCTGGGATCAGAAAAATACTTGAGTGTAATGAGATACAGCTCTGTTGGGTACTGTGGAAACTCCCCAAAATGATGCCTGGTTTTCTGTGGCCTGGCCCTTCAGAAATCCCTTGTGGGATTTTCCATGAAATGGTAATACCAGTTCTTCCTTCAGCCTCTTTCTGTGGCTGGATTGGGGTAACCCTCTCTAGCCCTAGCTCTCTCATCCCCAGGATCTCAAACTATTCCTATGTCCTTATAATTATCTGTCTTTGCCCAGTTGATATTACTCTTTTTTAAAGAGTATTGAACTTTCCAAATGCTTTCCCAAGAGGGATTGAGGTCTATGAAAAGATGTTGTCCCATTTAAAAAATCATTTATCTTCCCCCACCGTACAAATTGCTCATTTACTTTATGCTTAAACATGGTAGTACTATGTCATACAGTCCTCTTGGCAGGGATCACAAGGTGTTCCTTCAAGAAAGTGTTGTAGTCACAGAATTTCAGAAGAGAGCACAAGGACACTTGGGGTTTAGCTTCATGTTAATAATCTCTTACACTTGCCATTTCCTTGATATATACTTTTTCTAGGCTACAGGACTGAGTATTTACTGTGGCTTGTTGTACCATGCAGAAATTGTGCCTAGGTCTTCTAGGCAAATGGATTAATAGTATGAAATCAAAAAAAGAAAAAAAGAATTTTTTTTTTTTAAATGCAGACCACACCAGTTCTTCAACTGTGTGTAGGAAAATAACAGAAATCATTCAGAAGAAAAAAAACATCAGTCCTTTTTAAGGCATCAATCCTGTCAGCACTCTCTCTGCTCTCAGGGGTCTTTTGCCTCAGCACTTTTGCCAGCCTTGGTATGTGGGTCCATTTATGTCACAGGATCAGTGGTGCTGGCCTGTTTGGAGGTGTGGCAGATCAGCTGCTTTGGTGACTTCATTTTGTAACTTGATAGTTCACTCCTATTACCAAGCAGCTCCAGCCTTGTGAATGTTTTGGTTAATATGATGTGATGGAAGTGAGGACTTCCTTTCTTGTCTGTCTATCAGTCTTGGGACACTATCATCACCGTGTGAAGGATGAGAGCACCCAGGTTTTCCAGAGGAGGCCATCTTAGACCACTTGATCTCAACCATGTGAGAGTACCTAATGAAGATCCAACACAGTTGCCTTTCTGACCCATCGTTAATTGCATTCACACATAGAGCCCAGCTGAAGCCATAAACATTACTCAGCTAACCATAAATTTATGAACGATAATGAATACCTTCAAGACTGAGTCCAGTATAAGCATACTCATTCCCATGACTTTAACTGCTCGGTCTCCCAGTTGGATGCTTCTACAATGTTTACACTTCAAAATCAAAACAAAACACATGTATTAAAATGAATTAATATCTTTATATTTAAATGTGAAATAAAATATAATGTATTATTTTATAAATGTGAAATAAATGCTGTTGGAAAGAAGGAAAATTTAGTCTTTCATCCACATGCCCATGACTAAAGATTCGATAATTCCCTTAAAGTGTTGATGTTTAATCAGACACTTGCAATAATTCCATTATTACATGTTTCCCCTTGATCTAGCTTCATGTCATGGAGAAAAGTAGTTACAGACTAGATTTTATGTACAAAGTCATGTATACTATACTTTATGGATGACTTACAGGATTTTATACTTCACAATTTTTGCTGACTTTGAAACTCCACTGTTCACAGGGCCTATCAGTGTGCCAGCACATAATAGGTGTTCAAAGACTATTTGCTGACTGGATGAATTTGTGTTAGAATAGTACCTAACTCACTATTTATGAATATGTAGCATGTAGATAAATAGCAGATGCTTGTAATATTTCACAGTTTTGCTTCTTTATAAAAATGAGGAGCCAAAATGCCTCCCTTGATTAATTGTAAAATGCTATCCATACCTTACTCCTTTTTTGTTTGCATTCATTCTTGAATTTATTATTTCCATCTAATGGTATAGGAATACTAATTTGTTCTAGCCAAAAAACATGTCAGTGATGCTCTTGGAGAAAAATGTACCAATAAGTTGTACTGGAAAAATGACATCATTAAGAACATTGTCTTCAGGCTAACCTACATATTGTAATATACCACTTTCAAGTTGTGATGTTTTTCCATCAATTATTTTAACAGGTGATAACAATCAAGCTTTGCTTGAAAGATCTTCAATGTAATTCA